AAAGGGAAAAGAAAAATTTTAAAGGTGATGACGTCCTTTCACTTTAATCTTACATTCATTCACTGAATAAATATTATAATCTATCCAATTAAATTCCATCAAGACAGGGACCAAAGTGCACACTACACATCACTGGAGAGCATGTGAACTTAGCACCTAGTAGGGTTTCTATAATAAACAGTTTCCAAATGAATGAAATCATACGAACATAAATAAGCCTCTAGACTTAAAGGAAGTTATACATTTCAATTTCTGATGAATTTTATAAAAAATATTTTAAAGATGCCACCAGGATAAAGATAGTCCTTGCTATAAGGCAAAAACAATCAAAAAGAGATAAAATGAAAAAAAAAAAAAGACTAAAGAGTGGGCACTGATATTTTTAAATGAGGGGAAACAGGCAACACAAAAAGACGTAAGTGGAAGAAATGCATGACTCCATAGAGAGGCACTGCTGACAATCAGAGAAGGAGATTCTATTTCTCACTTTTATAAATGACCATTTATCCAAAAACTCTCCTATTCTGATCTATCTGGGTATAAGCAAATCAAGTTTAACAAATACTGAACCTCTGTCACTTACAAAACCCTTGCTAGGCTGGGAAGGGGCACAAAACCAAATCAAAGTCCCTCTTCTCCTATGAACCATATATTTAGTGGGTCACCTGACACAGGAGTTGCTAAGGATTTGTCATTAGGATGAGCTATTAACAATGTTAAAGGTAGGAAATTCCAAGAATTAAAAGCCATAAGGTTCCCACTTAGTATTTTTAAAAAATATGCTATCATTAGCATATCTGCTGTCAAATTTTCTGGATCAAGTCTGGGCTTATTGTTTTTATTGAATTTTAATTAAATAAAATTTTACCACAAAGGAGAAATTTAGGCAGGAAATTTTGTGCATCTAATGAATGCTGTTTCACCGAACAGTTAAAGACACTTCATGTCTGAACATCACTGTCTATGTTGCTGCTTCTTTCCAGTGTACCTCCTCACTTAGCTGGAAATACTGTAATTCACCCTCCCAAACCCAACTCAAACATCATCACTAGAGGTCTGTGATGGTATCAAAACTATTCATTGCTATTATCACCCTCTGATCTATACCTTTAATGTAAATTATGTAAACCAAACAGGATTCTGCATTTCTATCTACCCTACTAGACTGAGAGTTCCCCAATGCTATCAGTTACTTTGGCTGGTAATCCGGAGGCAAGCTGTAAATGTACACAGAACATGGCTGAAACACTGGGTAAAGGGGTAGGTTAAGGGAGTACTAACTTGAAGACAGTTTTCATTAGTATAATAAACTGTAACATTCCATGAAATCGAATGAGTAGAAATATATAATTGGATACATTCTGGTGAAAAAGCCCTCAGACATATCTACACATGTTATTTTTTCTATTACACAACTGTGGAGATGTGCTGGGCTAGATAGATTTAACCACTTACAATAATGGGAATACTCAAAACTACTGTGGTGGCATGAATTTTACTACATAGCAAGAAAAAAATTGTAGTCTATTTAGTGAAGAGAATGTGGCTTTATTAAAATAACAAATGTGAAATTTGTTATGAACTGTGTTTGGCAATTTTGATTCTGGTTTGAATAGTTGAAGGGAAGAACCATGAATGAGCTAATGATAAAGTTTTCCCAATTTCCCATATTTTTATTTCTAAAAAATATGTAAATGGATGAGAGAGAAAACTGAGACTACTAGTGTCAGAATCAAAAGAAAATGCATTTAAACATCTAAAGAAGAGTAAAGTCTGATCTGGTATACAGAATACCAGTAAGATTCAACCCAAACGTTCTACACTGGCTGGTAGAGGTCACAAGTATCATTTTAAAATTTTCATTTGCCTTTACAAAGTTAATACTTTTTAAGTGTTAAGATTTTTTTTTTTTTTTTTTTTAAAATGGTTATTTTTGTTGTCATGACTTGAACCTTTTACTACCATTAAATTAGGTATTTAAATTTTAAGGATAATGATGCAAAATCCCCAATGACTGGAAAGTCAAGATCAAATAATCTTTTCAAGTTCTACATTAAAATTCATGCTTCCCACTTGACCACAATGGAATGCTAGTTTTATTAAAAGATCAAGTGCCAAGTCTTGAACAAGATCTTGACTATATCAAAGCCAAGATTCTGCAAACGTAAGGAATTTGAGACAAAGTGAAAAGAAAGAATAGCAGAAAATAGAGAAGACCAAGTCTAAAACCAATGCAAATAAACTGAAATACAGCTTTAATGTAAGTTGCCTCATCTGAAATAATCTTTAGGTCAGCAATTTGCTCCACATCCCAAGCTGATTAAAATCCATGCTCAGCATGCACCTGAAATACCAGTGCAAATTGTTGAGAAGGGTCAAGAAATTTAAAATTCATCCAGTAACGTTTTCCTAAAAGGCCAACAACTGAATATGGTCTTGATGGTGGCACTGCTCCTCTCCACCAGCCTGTGTGCAGTACCTAGGCTAACAGATCTTTGTAGGAAATGTAATACAAGTAGGAAAATATCAAAGGTGTGCTACCAACTAATGTGTTCATAAAGTACCCTGGCTTAAAGAAGAATGTGTATAAATGGGTTGTAAAATAGAAAGAACCGTATAAAACCATAAAAGTGCAATTGAAGGTGGAAAAGACAACTCTCTTAGGGTTTCCTTTGAGGGACTTGGCTTTTTGAAATCAGAGAAAGTTTTAAGTTCTTAAAAATGTGTTCAAAACATTATAACCTCTGATGAGAATATAAGAAACCCATGATTTGCAGGTCTCTCTTCACCCTTTCCTAACAATTTCTCAATCAGTTAAAATACCAACATTCACACTGAAACACCAACTTTAAATCATTTTCAGTATCACAAGCTAAAGCTAGATTAACAGCCAAAAAAGCAGAAGCTCTGAGCGTGCACCAAACTCGAGGACACTTACCTGCCACTCTCAAACCACATTACAATAGGCCATGCAACACGAAACAAACAAAGGCAAATTACTTAAAGGTCTGTGAACCTATTATTTTTCTTTTTATTTAGAGTTAAATTAAAACGAATTCTTAAAATAAAAACATGAAATTTTCACTTCTGAAATTATCTTTCAAAACTAAATAATTTAGGTTCACACTTACCTTTTAATATTATGCCCAAATTACTGAGCTCTGAATGGCCTTCATGAACAGACTTGTGTTTAAAATACTTTAGTGCATATAGAGTAAATGAAAACGACTCCATTTTCTCAACTGCAATACAGCTTTTTCTCAAATACTGCTTTTACTAATAAATCTTGATATTTTCACGTTTCAAAATTTTTTTTCATAAAAATGTGTTCCATTATAGGTCTCCAAATTATAAAATAATCTCCAATTAATAGATATGAAGTCTCATAAAATTCAAAAAGACATTTGGTTATCATAATTTACTCTATAAAATAGAATTTGCAGTTCTAGAAGGCATCAGAAATGTTACTCAAACAATTCACAGCTCAGTCATGCAAAGCAGTTAAAAAGATGGCGAAGTGGAAACATTCATTTAGTGCAAGACAAATGCAGTCTACCGCAGGCAAAGAGAAATAGATAGAAAATCATCTTCTCACTTTCAAAATCAAGGAAAAAATTTGGCCCCTGCTCAAGGTCTGTGCATGTCAAAACCTTAAGAAGATTCCCCATGTTAAGGTACCTGTCAAGACAAGAATGAGAGAAGAAAAATACCCCTTTATAAAAAGAACATCTGACATTTACTTTAAAGAACAGTCACAGGGAAAATGTTCATTAGGCCATGAATGCATCCTTCAGTTACCCAGACTGTGCTCTGGAGACAGCAAACCGGGTTCTCAAGGTGTCCGTGTGTAGGACCTAGAGGTAGACTGTGCTTTTTCCTGTGCACAATGGCTCAACTGTTGCTCTAATTCTTCTCAAAATTCTCCCAAGACAAGTTTCATTAACGGCCTTATAATGAAAAATTCTTTAAGTATTCCAATAGTGCTAGTATTCTGAAAAAGAAATTTCTGATCAAGAATTATTCACACAATTTTGTTAGCACAGCAGTGAAACAACAGTTTATTTCAAGGCCAAATATAAAGAGGTTTGGCCAAAGCTCACCTTCACATCTCATTTTAAAATAGCAAATGCAAACTTCCCATATGCCATTGAACATAGCAGTTGTTTCTAACCAAATTTGGATTATTAGAAAATTTATGGAAGCTATTTAAAGTATTCATTTCAGATCTGCAGCACAATTCTTAGTTCTTAAAGCAAATTATTCCAAGATTGTGAGTACTGGTTGGCATAGTCACTAAAGCATACTATTAGAATATTCATCATAAGGCTACTTGCTTCATGGACTAATGAAAGGACAGCACTGGCTACAGACTCAACATGATTTTTAGCAAATGAGAAACTAAAGAATTATACATATGATGGTGATGTTTGCCTAAAATTAAGGGAAAAAAATCATGCAACCTTTATTTGATCCCCCATGTCTAATTAACAAATATACTGGCTGGCCTTCACTGTGGTGTGAGTATAAGTATCTTTCACCTTTACCATTATGCACCAGCTGTGAAGGGCTAAAGAGACTTACTTTCAAAGTCCAAGAAAAAATGTGCTGCATTGTGGTCTATGTCCCTGGTTAGCACCTTAATGAGATTACCCATGCCAGCAAACCTAAAAATAAAAATGGCAACATCATTTAGTTCCAGTAGAAAGTTTTAAGCAGAGGCCTGGGATTTGGCAAAGGCCTGGCTTGCTCCTAACTGCCAACAGGTGCAGGCTTTACATGCTTCTTGCATGGATCATTTGGAGTGACAAAAGCATACTTGGCTGAATTATAGCTTCTGTCCCCTTTCCTGTCGCACACAGCAAAAAAGCCACATGGGGGTTTTTGGGAAAAGATATTTTTGCATACAACTTGCAATATCTACATTTTACTAATATCTATACTAACACTGCTGTTTGAAAACTTTTGAGGTACATATTCTCAATGTAACAGCAAAATTAGTTTTTTTTCAAATAAGTAAATATGGAGATTATTTTTAAATTAATGAGGGTATTTTCCTTCATGATGAATCAAAACCTATTAGGGATACAAAGAAGACAATAGTCAAAGACATTTAACCATTAGACTGAAGGAAGTTATCAATTAATTATCCACTTAAGAAAACTGCCATACAAACCTCAATTATTTCTTCTCTCCTGAAAGATTTATCAAACTTTCAGTATTTAACTTCTGAATTGATAGTCTATATCATACATGATATGTGACTTAAAAGTTAACCCAGCAAATGCTATATACAGAACCAGCAACTATCATACTTAGTAAGTATGCAGAGAGAAAACATTAACAATGAGGCACTGGCATAAATCAGTCTTGCCCAAGGACTTGCCATGGTGTAGTGCAGATGAATGTGAGGGGCAGTGTGAGGAAACCAGGTTCAGACCTGGAAGTTGGAGGAAACAGGGAAAGCCAACAACGGTGTCAGAACTGCCCAGACCCTCCTTCTCCAACTACAATACTTTTCCTCCTCAACTGAACAGTACAGGCTTATGTAAATGAGAAAAATCCCAAAGTACCTTATCACATTCCCATTCAAGAAGTATGAAAAGAGCTAGCGCTGAGGGACACCTGGATGGCGCCTGGACTGCCTGTCCCCACTTCTTCCACTTATTCCTCCCAACAGTGGTTTATGCTCCTGCCAGCCTCCCAGAGAGAAAAAAATACATAGGTGTTAACAGTGTCCTGTTAAATGTCAGACTCCACTGGACAATGTCAAACTTTTCTGACTGGGTGTGGAGGTGGCACATGCCTTTAGTCCCAGCACTCGGGAGGCAGAGGCAGGCGGATGTCTGTGAGTTCAAGGCCAGCCTGATCTACACACAGTGAGTTCCAGGCCAGCTGGGGCTACAGGGAGACCCTCTCTCAAGAAGATGACACACAAAAGAAATTTAAAACACATTTCCTATAAAATGTTAGAAGATTCTAATTTATTCAAAGATATACTAAATACTAAACTAGGTTCTCCTTTCAAATAATATTCCAAAGTCCATCTTCTCCTCTTCTTTAGTACTGTGTGTGTGTGTGTGTGTGTGTGTGTGTGTGTGTGTATGCGCGCACATGCCAGAGCGTGATGTCAGGTGTCTTTCTCAATTGTTCCCCACATTATTTTTTGAAACAGGGTCTCACTGAACTTGGAGCTCACTGATTCAGCTAGGATGGCTGGCCAGTGAGCTTCAGGGATCCACCTGTTTCTACCACCCCAATACTGGGATCACCCTGCTGCAACCAGCTTTTAAGTAGGTGTCAGGGATCCAAATTCAGTTCCTCGGGCTTACACGGAACACACTGTTACCAAATGAGCCACGTCCCCAGACCTATCTTTTTATTTATACTATCATTTCTAGTGCATACTGTCTTGTTCAATAGAAACATCAATGTCCTGATTTTGTGCAATATTTTACATGAGTGGATTAGGTGAGACTGAAACAAAGTTTATTACCAAGCTTTTATATACAAGGAAAAGGTGATTATTTTTCCTAAAACATCACATCGAATGACCTCAAACTGGTCAGGAGGGGAGGAGCCAAAAAGAAGAAAAAGGAGGAAAAGGAAGGCAAAAAAGAGAAGACAATGAATAACAGTGATGAAGGAAGGAGCAGAGGAGGAGGAAAAGGAGGGAGGGAGGAGGAGGGAGGAAGGGAAGGGAAGGAGGAGGAGAGTGGGAGGGAGGGAGAAGGAAGAGGGAGAAGGAAAGAGGTAGGAGGAGGAAGAGGATGAAAGTGGAGCTAATCCTTTTAGCACAAAGTAGTCTTCAATTTATCAAGGAATTTCAAAGTTCTAAATCAGAATAAAACCCATCTTTAGCAGTCCTCTGGAGAAACTATCATCCTAGTATATGGGGGGGGGCAATTAGGTTTCTTTTAAAAATATTTTATTATTTTTATTTTATGTGTATGAGTATATTGCCTGCATGTATGTAAGTGCACCAATGTTGTACAATGCTCGCAGAGATCGGAAGGGGGCACTGGATCCTCTGGAACTGATGTTACGGATGATTGTTAGCCGCCAGTGGGTGCTGGGAACCAAACCGGGGTCCTGTGCCAAGAGCAGCCAGTGCTCTTAACCTATGAGCCATCTCTCCAGTCCCAATTAGGTTTCTTTACCTTTTACCCACATGCATGATCCCACCCACAGAGAAAATGCTGGCACCAGTAAAGTTTGTCCATCCTGTTTTCATGCATGCCCCTGCAAAACTGCTCCCATTCCCAGGTGTTATACCCTCATGTGGCCCTACTCTTCTCACCACTGCAGCACACATGGTCTTGACGTACTAATTCTCTAGTCTTTGATGATGTAAGATCTCTTATCTTTCCATCCCAAATACAAATACTTAACTTAAAAATGACTGCTTATGGGGCATAGTGTTTCTCAACCTTGGTACTATTAACATTTTAGCTGAGTAAGTCTTTTGTTACTGAGTTCTATCTTACACTGTTGGCTATTCAACAGCATCCTAGCCTCAACCCAGTAGCAAACCCAGCATGCAGGCAAGCACACATACAATGTGGCAATCAGAAATGTCTGCCGTTGGTGAGAACCACTGATCAAGCACAACTGTGGTCCAGTGCCGATATTCCCTCTACAACACTGCATCCAGACCAATGCTAGTAGGAAACTCACATCATTCACATCTCATTGAAGAATCACTAAAGGAATTTTTCAAAGACCTAAAAAACAGTTCCACTGTAATATTACCAGTTCTCCCGCCATCATGTTGTATTTAATAAGGCCAAACCCAACCACACAAAAAACCCTTCCATCCCACCACTGTGACTATCTCTTATGACACAGTGTCAAATTGTCAGGTCTGATAGGTAACCAGACTGCCAGGGGCTGAAACCTAGCTTTGCCCTTTCTACATTTTTGGACTCAAGTTTCCTAACCTTTCCCACTCCTGGTTTTCTCATCTGTAAAAGGTACATTAGTGACAGTCAAGGAAAATGGCTTCTAATCATTAAGGAGAGCAACACAAACACATTCAATACGATGGCTGGCAGTGTTTGCTGCCATTGCTGCTGGAAGCTGTTGAAGCGAGCACACTGCAAACCCATCCCAAAAGCAGAGGCTGCAGAACATAAGCTCAGACACATCCTGCCACAGAGGATGCCAGTCTGCCAGAGAAAGAAGCCAGCATGCAGGAGTGGTCAGAGGTACCTGAGGTCACTCAACACTCATTCTCGAATTCTAGCCAGGTTCGCTGCTTGGTTACCCTTTGGTTTTACAAAATCTTTATCTATTGAGTTGGATTCCTGCCACCTGTATCTAAAACAGTTCTATCAGTAAGTTTCCTAAGTTTCCCGTGGATGACTAAATCCAACATGAAAGATACTACAAAGGATTTTTAATAATGTAAAATGATTTTGAAATATTGATACATTTTAGAGGCACTATTTTAAATAAACATGATTTAGAACAACGTAAACTATAGAGCTTAGTCTGAACTTAGAAGAAAAAAGCTCAAATTCATTACATAAGCTAAGGAATTTAATACAAACTTAATACACAGAAACTAGACATAGCTTACTTTTAAAGCGTTTATAATGCAGGGCTAGATGGCTCAGCAGGTAAGGCTGTTCTTGCAGAGAACAGCACCCACATGGCAGCTAACCACCATCTGTAACTCCCGTTCCAGGGGATCCAACACCCTTTACTGATCTCCACAGGCACTACATGACAAGGGTGCCCTTACATACATGCAAGCAATACACTCATACACCTGAAATAAAAATATTTTTTTAAAAGAACTGTTTGTAATCTTGGTTTCTGTTTTGTTTTGTGTGACAGGGTCTCTGTGCTGGACAGCTTTTGTTGTCACCTTGATACAATTGGGTGGAGGTAGCATCGTTGGGAAACTGACTCTATTGGACTAGCCTGTGGCCATGTCTGTGGGGCATTTTCTTGAGTGTTGATTTTCTTGATTGGGAAGGCCCAGCCCACTGTGGGCAGGTGGTCCTGTATTGCATGAGAAAGCAGGCTGAGCACAGGCCAGGGGACCAAGCCAATAAACAACATTCCTCCATGGTCTGTGCTTCAGCTCCTGCCTCCAGATTCCTGCCCTGTGTTCCTGCCTTGGGCTCCCTCAGTGATGAACTGTGACCTGGGAGATGTAAGCCAAATAAACCCTTTCCTCCCCAAGTTGGTATTGGTCAGTGTTTTGTCACAGCAATAGAAAAGCTAAGTAGAACAGTCTCACTATGTAGCTCCAGGTGGCCTAGAACTTAGAATCTAGACCAGGATGGCTTCACAAAGATTCACCTGCTTCTGCCTCCCAAGTGTTGGGATTAAAGGCATGTGCCACCATGCCTGGCTCTTACTGATTCTGATGGAATTTTGTGACTATAAGCTCTTATCATAGACACTGTCTCCAAGTACACAACTTATCTAGAAAGGAACTTGTTCCTGGCTGAAGTCTGCTGATGTATTATTAAACTAAGAAAATGCACTTAATGAAGACATTGGATTGTTTTCCCATAAAACATTGCAAAGAATTCCCTATGGGGGCTGGAGAGATGGCTCAGCAGTTAAGAGCACTAGCCACTCTTTCCAAAGACCCGGGGTTCAATTCATAGCACCCACATGGCTAACAACCATCTGTAATTCCAGTTCCAGGGGAATCAGATACCCTCTTCTAACCACCTCAGGCATTGTACCACACAGGTACACTTACATACATGCAGGCAATACATGCATATACATAAATTTAAAAATTAAAATATTTTTTAAGATCCCTATAGGACAGAAACAGCTCCAGGCTACAGTTACTATTGTTTCTGCTATCTTTCTGGGAACATCCCAAGAGCTGTGACTTCATCTATTCTCTCAGCCCAGGCATTTGAGATGCTGCCAGCCCAGGAGAGAACAATCACCCCCAAAACCTTCCTGTGGCTGCTCTTCATCCTTTATCCCTTTCTCCTGTCAAATGTGGCCTCCTTACACATTTTGAGAAGGCCTCCAACCTTCTCAAAAGCAACTGTAGCCCCTGCCCCATTATGTTCTATCTTACTACCCACCCCACTCACCCTAACCTCACCACATATATCACAATCTCAACTGTACTGCATGTTTAGCATCAGCTTTCCATACATCCAATTAGATGTTCTGGGAAGAAAGAAAAGAGAAAGGAAAGAAAGCTCATAAGCAGACTGAACAGTACTACTTTCAACCAGTAGCACTCTAACACTTGAACTATACAGTTCTTTACAGAAAGGGAAGGTTCTGTGCCTGACAGAATGGCAGTATCCCAGGCCTCTGGTCACTGGTACCTCATTCCATGTCTGCCCCTACTATGCATAGCTAGGGGTATCTCTGGATATTGCCAAGTGACTCCTAGGAAACTAACTGCTCCTGGTTGACAACCACTGCTTTCAAACCACAAACACCAAGTGTGTCGTCAGAGTTTCCTGACCATCCTCGTATCTACCTTCAAAGGACTACTCTACATATTTTAAGTCTCCTCCAAATCTCCAACCCATTCTCCTATGCAAGAAATGACCTGACTACATTTTAAAAATTTTTTAAATTTTTGTGTATGAGTATTTTACTTGCATGTCTGTAAGCGCACCCATGTTATGTAATGCCCTCAGAGTCCAGAAGAGGGTGTCAGATTCCCTGGAACTGGAGTAATGGACAGCTGTCACTATGTG